CTCTGAACCACACAGTGCCATGTGTAATCGTTCGATGGAAGCTTCTACATCAAGAGTCTAGCTTTTATCGACAGTAGCGGATGTGGCCTAAAGGTGTAATTGTCTTTGTTTCTTTGGCGAGTTTGACGGAAAGACTCACTGACAATGTCGACTGTGATGCCGGCGAAACGTATAAAAATGTACCAAGTCCCCGATCCTACGCTGGGAATTATGGCAACTACTATATCAGAGGACTTCAGACAAGATGCGTCCAACTAAGTCCACCTGACAACACGAACAAGTTGCGAAACACAGGTCAGACCACTTCTAAACATATAACTTTATTTTTCCTAGCTTGACTTCAATCATAGTGGCATATATTCACAATATCTAACGCAGATCTAAAAACGTCTTGGTAAGATACTATAGACAGAACCTCTCATAATCGGTAACTTCAAAAATAGTGTATCTAAGCGTAGTTTAAAATTAAAACGTAGATTCAATCTACCCAGAAATTTTCCTTATAGGTACTTTTTATAAATAGTCCATCCTATTAGCTTAATGTGTCCCTATGGACGTCTGATTAAATAAAAGTTGGAAGTAGAGAATGGTAAGGTACAAAATTGCATCTAAGAAATAAACTTACCGTCTTGGGGCGACGGTCGCAGATGCTGAGCTCAAAGGACTCTGAGACGGAAGAAGGAAGTGTAAGCGAGGAAAAGGAACCAGATTCATGCTGATCTCGTTCAGGTCAACATTCATTGTACCCTCAAAGCGAGCCGAACTGATGTCAAAATGGGCATAAATGGGGACAAAGTGAATTTATTAATTTTTAATAGTATAAGAAAATAAGTCAAGATAAAACGTGAAAGGCCAGTCACAACTCACTTCTTGCCTTCACTATGACGCCATAAGCTAAAGCACTGCCAGACACAGCCTGATGGCAGATTCTGCAAAGGACTTTCCATTTCGAATAAAAAATTGGTTGAAGAAATTCGTGAAATGTTCTCACCGGAGGAGTGCCACGGAATGCAGGCTATCGGATTGTACGAACAAGTCCTCGGTCCACCGATCTGCGACTCAAATGAAGAATGGTGAGCCGAGGACTTCCTCGCACACTCATACATTCTTCACTCCGCGGTACTCCTCCTTCGGTTTCCGGAGAGACCATTTTACCAATTCCTTTCTACCAACTTTTCCTACCGAATGGATCAATGAGGAATTCTTCGAAACCCGGTCTTTCTTCATATCTGCAGAGGACTGTCCGATTTAGG